GTTGTCGAAGTTTGGAGACTGTTGACCATTCATCCGTCCAAATAGACTGTGACTGACGAGTGAATAAAATCGAGTTAGGAATGCTACACAATGCACGGTTTGAATTGCTAGAACGACAGTCTGGCACTGGCTGTTTTACCTGACGTAAGTGAATGAAATGAAAGACGTTCATTCTGAAGCAACTGTCTAATAATGATGGAAGTGCTTGTGTTTAGTTCTCCTCCTGTGATCTTGCACACTCTGAGCTGCAATCGCCTCGTCTACAGGAGACTCTGTTTACTGACTGCAGAGCAGCTTTCAACTTTAACTCGGTGGAAAGCCATGGAAAATCAATTTAAAAGATGTTTTTCCACCCCTAAGGAATCCTATACGGGACACTTGTGTGATCTGCTCCATGCATTAGAGAAGTGGTTCCCAACCCTGGTCCTGGAGGCACCCCAACACACCTGATTCAGATCATCAGCTCATTAGTAGAGACTCCAAGACCTGAAATTGGTGTGTCAGAGAAAGGAGACATGCAAAATGTACAGTGTGGGGGTGCCTCCAGGACCAGGGTTGGGAACCACTGCATTAGAGGAAACCACAAAAAATGAGAGTTTTGATGTTGTTATGAGAGCTAACATTTCACATAGATGCTGGTTATATGATATAATGATTATATAGGAAAACATGCAAGGAAAAAACTTTTATATAAATACATCTGCACACATGTATAATGTATTATAACACATTTCGTATTAGTTATGCATTTTGTGTTTTTTAATAAAATACAGAATGAAATAAATTAATTTCTTTAAGATTTTTAATTATACTTTCTGTAATTTTTTTGGTTTTACATTAACTATATACATACTGTAGTTTACATTATAAATGAATAACAAATATTATATTGATAAAAATATGTATATTTACAAAATAATACAAAATTTTAAATTATAATAAAAAAAAAATACAATAATGAAAATATGAAATGTGAAAAATTAAAATATGCAAGGAAAGATCTTTTATATAAATATATTTTTTAATATAAATAATAAATACACACATGTATTATTATGTATTTTTAGATATTACATTACATATTAGTTATGTATTATTATATATATATTAAATATTTTTTATTACACACATTATATATGTAGAATTTTAATTATGCTTTCTGTATTTTTTTTTCTTCTAAATTAACTGTATATATATATATATATATATATATATACGGTACATACACATACATACTGTATTTTACATTATAAATTAATAACACATATATACAAATACTATATATCATGCATTATACATAACAAATATTATATATATATATATATATATATATATACATACATACATACATACATACATACATATATCACAAATATTAATATATTTATGCATTCATATAAATTATTTGGCAGCTTTTCATCGCAGAATTTCATCTTTACAGATGCTTAATATTACCCTATTATTCAGTGTGAATTGCTACATTCAAAAACGCGCGCGCACACGCACACACACACACACACACACACACACACACACACACACACACACAAACACACACACACTAAATAAATGAACACTATTTTTAAAAATGAAAAATTATGTAAAAGACATTTCATGACGAGTCACAAATATTTATGGTAATTACATTTTCTCAATTCACCCGCTACTGGCAGGTGTGATAAAAACATAATTTTGGCACACATCCATTCCTCCATCTATCCATATATACAGTATATATTTACCTATTCAATCATCTGTCCATCCATCCACCCGTTCAAGACAGCATGTGTAACGTCTGGTGGGATGTTCGGAAGCACAATGAGAGCAAATAAATCAGAGCAAAATGATGCTTAGGGAGCATGTAGAAACGACTCAGGAGTTTAGGAAGTGCGTTCAGAAGGCTGTAATGTTTAGGGAGAATGGAGGAGTGTGTCAGTAAACTGAGGTGAATGAACTATAATACTAGAGTTTTGCTCATGTTGTTCAGGGAGCGCGTGTAAACTGCTCAGTTCTGCATTTGTTTGTAGATGCACTAGGGAGAACAGACTCTGAACTTAAATAAGCTTAAACGCGCTTCCAAATGGTGCAATTTCCCACTGCTGTGTACAACCCAGACGGTCTAAATGAATTTATCACTGTACATAAGCAACAGAATACACTGAATCCATAGAGGACCTGTGTTGTGGATCAGCAACAGTAAGGCTTTGATTAATAGTACATGATCTTGCTTCAGTTTATCATTCATAATTCTATGTAATAAGACCATTTTAGCCATTGCTTATTTTACTTGCACTGTAATATTTACTAAAATGATTTCAAAACTGCTCTTCTGTCTACTGAAACTTTTATGGAATGGGCAAATTATAAAAATAATACTTTTTATTTGCATTAATATAATATAATAATAAAAATAAACCACCACCACCAACATTATTATTATTATTATTATTATTATTATTAACATAAAAGCAAAATAATAAAAATACTACTACTACTACTACTAATGTTTATTGTGTTATGTTGCTGTTGGTGGTGGTTTATTTTTATATGATATTAAATTAATGCTAATAAAAGGTATGATTATTATATGTTATTATTAGTAAACATAACAGCAAAATAAAATTATTATTATTACTATATAATTATATGACTATTATGTGGTGATAACAACATTAGTAATAATAATAATAACATCAATAACAATAATAAGCATCACTGTCAGGGATTCCTCACAGTCACTTCAGTCACCATCCAGGATAATTACCCGATCACAGTCACCTGAGTTCTGATCACCCGCACCTGCTGTCACCAATCAAGCCACACTACAAATACACACACAGCACAATCACTCACTGTCCGGTCTACCGTTCACTACTACGAACTGCTCTGGACTCTCTCTGCCAAATTCTCCATATATATATATACAGTATATAACAAGGTCTGACTTTTCAAAGCTGTGCATCATGTTCTCCGCTTGAAAGGAAACATTATACAAATCAAATCTGGCTATCTCAGAAACATCCATTTCAACTCTGCTTTATAGGAGAATAATAAAATGACCTCTAAAGTCATCTTTACTGTATTGCTCAATACTTCTCCACAAGTTACCTCCTCATGTGTACTTTATTTAAACCTGGAATTGAATGAAGTTTCCTGAGAGCGGTAATTTCATCTCTCTCTGAGCGCTCGGTATATTTGACTTGGCATCAATAATTCATGAAATCTATATACATAGACAAACAAGTTTCCAAATAAAAGCCCAACAAACAGAGCTGGGGTGTGTGTGCCAGCTAGATGGTGATGTGTAATCGTCTCTGTTACACACATACATTTAAACATGACGAGGCTGAAAGGCCTTTCTCATGATGCTGAAAGGTGAGAGCAGAGGCCAGGCCTGCAACCGTTTGATTAACATTTAGACAGCTTTCACTAGAACAAACAAATACAAGACTGAAATCAAACAGTTCACACCTCTGCAAAAGAGAAAGAGAAAGAGAGAATGACAGAATGATAGAACGATAGATAGATAGATAGATAGATAGATAGACAGATAGATAGATAGACAGACAGACAGACAGATAGACGGATATATGGATGGATGGATGGATGGATAGATAGATGGTGTCCAGTGGTTTCACATTGATCTGTAACAAGATCGAGCTTCTGCCACACAGACACAGACACAGACACACACACACACACACACACACACACACACACACACACACACACACACACACACAGTCTGCAAGAAGTCTGCAGAAAACTGATGTGTTGAGTTTTTCAGGAAATACCTTTTATGAAAACAAACTTATTGCATCAAACCTCACAACACTTTCTGATCTTTCTCTCTGGCTGCTTCCCGTTTGCTGTTGCCTTCTATCTTTCTGACAGCTTGACCTTTTGTGACCTTTACAAAGTTTTTAATTAGGATCGTGCTTCCAGCTGACATGCACTATGGGGCGTGTGTCTGGAGGGAAGGGCCTGTGGCTGTGAAATTAATCTGTCAATCAAAGGCAAATCCATTACACCAGCCAATCAGCAGCCAGGATTTACAGTAGGCTCAAACGATGATGTCATTATGCGGAGAACAGCGACAGACCTCAAGAACTCACACACCCAGATGCTAATATTTAAATGAGTGAATTTAAATACTAAATGAGCAGAATTAATTAATGCACAGGAATGAATAATTAGCTTTATCTACACGAAAGACTAAAACACTCATAAAAAGACAAAAAAGACCAAAAGGTATTACCATGTTTTTGTAGACACGGTACCATGGTAAATCACAGTGTATACAAATGATGGATGGATGGATGCATAGATAGACAGAGAGAAGGATGGATGGATGGATAGACAGAGAGAAGGATAGATAGATAGATGGATGAATGGATAGATAGATAGATGGATGATAGAACAATAGATGGATAGATAGATGGATGAATGTATGGATGATAGAACAATAGATGGATAGAGAGATGGATAGAACGATGGATGGATGGATGATAGTTAGATAGATGGATAAACTGATGCATGAATGGATAAAATGATAGATGGATGATAGATGGTAGATGGAAGATGGACAGATAGATAGATATATAGAACGATGGGTGGATGGATAGAATGATAGATAAATGGATGGGTAGATATATGGATAAAATGATAGATGGTAGATGGAAGATGGACAGATAGATAGATATATAGAACGATGGGTGGATGGATAGAATAGATGGATGATAAAATGATAGATAGATGGATGGATGGACGGATAGGTGGAAGATGGGCAGATAGATAGATGGATAGAATGATGGTTGGAAGTTGGATAGATGGAAATAACGAAGGCTGGATGGATAGAACGATGGAGAGCTGGACCATATGATGCCATCACTGTACCATGGTACTTTTTAAAGGACATGCATACAAACTCAACTTATTAAAACTGACAGTATTTTATTCTATCTATCACACAGAAGGAGTTTGATTGACAGGACACTGACCGGTGCGCGGGTTGATGCTGAAGAAGTTCTGCGGGTTGCCGCTGGAGATACGGAATGACAGGCGGGGCTCGGTTGCCGTGGCGTCAGGGTCCTGCGCCCGGATCTGAATGATGGACTGGTCCTTCTGGGAATTTTCCGGAATGGTGGCGTGATACATTGGCTCAGATGTGAGGGGGGCGTTATCGTTAACATCCTCAACCTGTTCAAACACACAGATTTACCACACATATCTATCTATCTATCTATCTATCTATCTATCTATCTCACATAGGATGCACACTAATTTACCTGTATGTACACTTGTAGTGCTGCTGACTGCGGTACCACTCCCAGATCAGTAGCGTACACTGTCAGCCAATAGGAGTCCTGCGTCTCTCGGTCCAACAGATCTGTAGTGTAGATGATACCTGCAAAATAAAATGGATAACAACACCAAAACATCACAAGCTGTACATTTTAATTCCAGTCAAACAGAGGCAGAATCGATAATTTAGTTTCAATGCATTCTACACGGAGACTGACAAACTCATATTAACTCTGATAGCAGTAATTGCTGTCAAAAAAGCAATTACAGAGCAGAAACATTAAAACTGAGCTGTGTAAATTGTTAAAATTTGGTCTCATATCTCAGATTAATAATCTAAATGAGCAGTTTATCCTTGAAAAGTGTTTGGTGCTATTAAAAACATTGCTGTTTGAGTATAACAGCAACAATGGCTCAGCCAATGGCGTGTGTCTGGGGCGGGGCTTCCTGCTTAGCTGGCCAATGGCCAAAAAACCTGTTTGGAGACAGTCATTATTACAGAAGGTCTGTTTACTGATGCTAGTGGTGCAGAAATTACACACTTTACCTTAGCAATAATTGCTTTTTACAAAAAATAAATTACTGAGCAAAAACATTAAAACTGAGGGGAATTGTTTTAATGTTAAATACTGTCTTGTATCTCAGATTAATGTACTAAGCAATCAATTTGTCAGGTAATTTTCTTGAAAAGTGTGTGGCGCTATCAAAACATTGCTGTTTGTTTGAGCCTAACACAGCAACAATAGCTATGTTTCCATCCACCTATTTTTATGCGCATTTTGGAATATCGCATGAAAAAATGCTGGATGGAAACGCCATGATGCGCATACACTTTAAAAATGTGCATACAAAACTTATGCGCACATCTGAGTAGGATAAACTTTTTATCCGATAAGAAAAAATGCGCATAAACTACGATGGAAACACATTTACCGAATAAATTCCACCAATGCGCATCTAAAAAGTCATGTGACTTTGCGCTATGAGACGGGATAACTTGACTAGCAGCGGACCGATCTCGTTCACAGCATCTATATATATGTTGCTATGGTCATTCTGAAAAGCCTGAGCAAAGTCTGTCGTCAAAGTATTTCTGTATAATTTTCTTACACAACTTCGTTCCCAAACAACTGGCATCCACCTCTGAGAGCAGTGACCGCATTTATTGTGTTTCGTCTGCTCGCTCTGGCGCAAGTAATTTATTATATATAAATATTATTATATTCAGTGGCTTCTCCTATATTCTTAAGTGATATTTAGTGCCACAGTTTACCAGGAAGTGACGATGTTGTTCTCTTTGACTCGTTGGATGGAAACGGTGCTTTATTTGCATATGTTTTATGCGATATTCCAGTTTTGCGCACAAGTTTAATTCGAATCTTTGGATAGAAACATAGCTAATGTCTCAGCCGTGTGTGTGTGTGTGTGTGTGTGTGTGACATCAATAATTCAGTTTGTTAGCCTGTAGGATTCATAAAATCCTTTAGTTCATTGTGCTAGAGTGAGAGCACACGTAATATATTCGGAACACCAGCAGAACTGCCCGAGGAACCTCACAATAAGAGCAGACGACGAAAAAAAGGGAGACAGAGAGGGCTTCCTTGTCTGGCCAATGGCGAGTGTTCTGGAAACCTCATTATTTATCACAACTGTTCTGTGGTGATGCTAGTAGTGAGTTACCTTTAAAAATCTCTGTTTATAATACAGCAGCACACAGGTTGTGGTAAATTTAGATCAATAAGGAGGTCACTTCCATAAGTCATGTAACAGAAACAGAGAAGAAGAAAACACAACCCTCAGGCTACAGACAAAATAAGACCTGAACCTCTGACCCCAACAACAGCCCGACATTTTCAATCGCTCCATGTAACCGTAAACTGAGGTCTTCAGTCTTGGGGACAAAAAATTAAATTATGTCCATGGTCAGAACATTAAAAAAAGAAAAAAAAAAAGCAGTTAATCTCAGGCACAGATTTGCCGCAAAAAGCGAGACTTTGCTCGGTGATTAACTGTCTCTTGAACTCCAATACTCATGCAGTCCACTAAAATTCCCCTTCTAACTAGATAATAGTCTGTTCAATCTGTAGTGAGTTGGAACCATTACGGAGGAGAAGGGCACAAGATAACATTCCTAGACAGAGAAGAAAAGAGTTTTAGAGACAAGGACATTTGTAGCTGCACTTGCCAGAGAAGGTCTTGGTAAGTGAGCATGAAATGAAGAAACTTGTTTTGATGCACCCCTCTTTATTTTATTTTTATTTTTTTTAACTTGTGTATACACACACACACACACACACACACACTCTTCTAAAAGGGGATATCTATTGTTTTGTACAAAGATAATTATAATTACTATGAATTAAAAACATTTATATTTATAATATTAATAATAAAATTAATATGAACATTCTAATAATATAATACATTTTAACATTATATTCTTTAAAAGTGGACATTCATGTATTATTTTATTTTTCATTATTTTCCATCACCAACTCTACGGTGGTTATTGCAATTAACATTAAAATAATAAAACATTCTAATAATACAATACATTTTAATATTAAATTGTTATGAAAGGGTACATATTCCCTAGACATCTCGTATTTTTATAAATCTAAATCTAATTACTATAGACGAATCAAAACTCAAATCCTGCTCTCTCTCTCGCTGTATGATTTTTATTATTTTTTTTTTGTATACTGTTGGTAATTTATGCATTATGTAAATATTGATTTATTGGTAATGTAACAATTGTTAAAATAAAGAAAGACTAAATCTCTCTCTCTCTCTCTCTATATATATATATAGTACACATATATTTAATAAAAAATATTTAATTAACATTAATATAATAAAAACATATATAATACATTTTAATATTATATTCTTATAAAAGGGGACATTCCTTAGACATTTACTGTTTTTATAAAGCTAATTATAATTACTATAGACAAAAAAACCCTCAAATAATTTTAATAAAAAACAATGATTGTATGTTTTAACATTAAAATAATAAAACATTATAATAACAGAATGCATTTTAATATTATATAATTGACATTCCATAGACATGTATTGTTTTATATAAAGCTAATTATAATTATTACAGACAAACTAAAATTCAAACCCTACCCTAAAAAGAGCTTTTTATATTTTTATTAAAAATAATAATAAAAATAATAAAATATTCTAATATAACCCATTTTAATTTTATATTCTTCTAAAAGTGAAGATTCCAGACATATATTGATATTTTTTTAATTAACATTAAAATTAACATTAAAATGTCATTATTTTTATTAACATTAAAATAATCAAATATTTAAATAATAATTAATTTTAATATTATATTATTGCAAAAAGGGGACATTCTTTAGACATCTATTGTTTTATTTAAAGCTAATTATTATACACAACCAGAACTCAAACCCTACAAGATTTCTTTTTGTATTTCAATAAAACAATATTTTAATTAACATTAAAATAAAACATTCTAATAATAAAATGCATTTTAATATTATACATTTTATCACTATTATTTGCATTTTTTTTATTTATTAATAACTGCTTTCCAAATGGGAGGTTGTGTCAAATTTAGCTTACTTTTGTGTACAACTTTGTCCTTAGTCTACAGCTAAGCAGTCACACACACAGTCCTGGCTAGAAGCTGATATTTCTGCCAGAGCTGAGCGAGCAGATAGGAAAGGCAGAGAGAGAGAGAGAGAAAGCGAGCGCAAATAAATGAGTGGAAATGGGGAGATTATTTCGCTTTTTGTTGGTTGTTGTGTTCCTGCTGTCTGACCTAGATAAGAACGATACGAGTCAATGAAAGAGTGCCAACCGGATGGCATGAGGCATGCACGTGTGTGTGTGTGCAAATATGTGTGTTAGTAATGCTGTTCATTGGCATAATCTCTGTGATCAATTATTAATGAGAGCCCAATTATCTACATCCTGCCTTTCCCAGCATCCTCTTACTGTAACTCAGGGTATGTAAGTGAGATAGTCGCTCATTAAATATGCAGGCCTCTTATAGATTCTTTAAGAACAGAATACAAATAAGCCTCGAATTAGTCTCGCTGAAGGAGGGAGTGAAAGAGCGACGTGTTTAGGATGAGAGGAAATGTGAGAGTTTCTGTGTGTTTATGTAATCTCTCTTCCAATCTTTGATCTTTGACTAATCTTTGGTTTAATAATTGATCCTGGTGCTTTCAAGACGAGTTCTTTGGCATTGCAAACGTGTTGTGTGTGTCAAAGCTCTGCTTCCCTGCACAGTTATAGTCATACATTAGTTTGACTAATGACAATGATAAATTGTCTCTTAAAGGGACAGAGCAATGATAAATTGTCTCTTAAAGGGACAGAGCACCCAAAAATATAAATTCTGACAATTCACCCAAAAATGAAAAATCATTTACTCCCCCCATGTCCTTCCAAACCCCAATGACTCTTTCTTTTGTGGAAACCAAAAGATATGTTTTGCAGAATGTCCTGGCTGCTTTATTCCATACAATATAAGTGGATGGGGACTGGAGCTGACAACTCCAAAAAATGCTCCATAAAGTTGTTCATATGACTTCTACTCTACATTCCAAGCTTTGTGTGAGGAACAGACTGAAATTGACATGTTATTTACTGAAATTTTCCTGTAGGTCTCATGCTTCATTTACATTTGTGTAAATATGATGCATCAAGATGCATAATTTGAAGTCTGACATGAAGAATTTCAACAATTCATGTTTTAAACCGCTGTTTGTTTCTCATACAAAGCTACAGAAGTGTACAGCTCTGTGTACAGAAGACATGGAATGTATTGCATGAGTCATATGTACTACTTTTATAGCGCTTTTGTTATTTTTGGAGCTTGACAGGCCAAGTCCCCATCATTAACGGCCGGTCTATGGTAATACGGTACATCAAGCAGGACATCCAAACGCTCGCCTATCATTCATCAACCTCAAATACGGCGTATCATCTGAAATATGTAAGTATTAGCAACTTTACATGGCCGCTCAATCTGATGTTGAAGCTGAACAGTAGCGCTCACTGCGTGACAGATGGAGGCGCTGGTGCGCTCACGAACTCCTAAAATACTCCAAA